TGGCTTTGGTAGCACAATTGGATTTGGAACTAGTTCAGATGGATGTAAAAACTGCATTTTTACGTGGAAACTTGGAGGAGGAAATCTATATGACTCAGCCAGAAGGATTCAAAGTTGCTGGAAAAGAAATTATGGTGTGCAAACTTGAAAAATCGTTGTACGGATTGAAACAATCTTCTAGACAATGGTACAAGCGATTTGACGAGTTTATGTTGCGGCAAGGGTACACGAGAAGCAAATACGATCATTGTGTGTATTTGCGCAAGCTTAAAGATGGTTCCTTTGTATATCTTCTCATATATGTTGATGATATGTTGATAGCTTCCAAGAATTCGGAAGAAATTGATAAATTGAAGATTCAACTGAAGAAGGAGTTCGAGATGAAGGATTTGGGTGAGGCAAAGAAAATTCTTGGCATGGAGATAATTAGAGATAGACGTTCAAAGAAACTCTGTTTATCTCAAAAGGAATATTTGAAGAGAGTACTTCAACGTTTTGGCATAGATGACAAGACTAAGCCAGTTAGTACTCCACTTGCTTCCCATTTTAAGCTAAGTACTACTATGTCGCCAATGGATGAAGCTGAACGAGAGTATATGTCAAAGGTACCATACGCAAATGTTGTTGGTAGCTTGATGTATGCAATGGTTTGCACAAGGCCTGACATTTCACAAGCTGTTGGAGTTATTAGCAGATATATGCACAATCCAGGGAAGGAGCATTGGCAAGCTGTGAAGTGGATTCTACGGTATATTCATAATACTGTAGATGTCGGGTTAGTTTTTGAGCAGGAAGACAATCAGTCTGTAGTTGGATATTGTGACTCAGATTTTGCGGGTGATATGGACAAACGAAGATCAACTACTGGTTATGTGTTTACTTTTGCAAAGGCACCAGTTAGTTGGAAGTCTACTTTGCAGTCAACAGTTGCTTTGTCTACAACAGAGGCAGAGTACATGGCTATTACAGATGCTGTGAAAGAGGCAATTTGGCTTCAAGGATTGCTAAAGGAGCTTGGTGTTGAACAAAAAGGTATCACAATTTTTTGTGATAGTCAAAGTGCTATTCAATTAGCGAAGAACCAAGTTTATCATGCAAGGACGAAGCACATTGATGTTCGGTATCATTTCGTACGAGAAATCATAGAAGAAGGTGGAGTCACGGTGAAGAAAATTCATACTACAGAGAATCCTGCTGATATGCTGACAAAGGTGGTGACTGCGGTCAAGTTTCAACATTGTTTGGATTTGATCAACATTGTTGAACACTGAAGATTGAAGATGAAGATACAACCAAAATTTGTTATAGAGAGAAAATTGAAGACGTGGAATTTTTGCCAAGGTGGAGATTTGTTGAAATGTCAAAAATTTCAACGTTCCACATCGGTGGGTTAGCAAAAGTGGATAGGATTTTTCCCCATAAAAGTAGGCCTAATGTTTAGGATTTAAACACACATCTCATTTGCCTTCTCATCTGTTTAAGGCATTTGTATCTTCTCTCTTTAGTATTATTTCACTTGTATTTTTGGAGTGGAATAAAATATTGATTGTGTCCGAGGAGTAGGCAAAATTAGCCGAACCTCGTAAATTCTGGTGTTCTCTTTATGGTTGCTTTATGGTCTTATTTATTATTTGGTGGCTGTCATAATTTTTGGTATAGTAGTTGTGACTTATTCACACTATATACATTTGGCTTCCGCAACAATATGATGTTTCTTGAAAATGCTAGAAAAAATGAAGTAAGGAATGGTTAATCCCTATCGAGTATGCTGAACAGACATGATGTGATATCATAGTTTCGTTTGCTAAAAAGGAAATATATTATTGATAGGATAGGTAGATGAAACACTGTAATTCTTGGGAAAAATTAACGAGGATGAGAGACAACTAGGACATGACAATGAAAAAGTTTCTGAGACAAACAATTTTTTAGAATCGGTCAAGATTGATAATACTAGATTGGTAAAGGGCGAGCTAGATCTTTGATATTTTGAATTGCACATTCATTATTTTTTCATGCATATGGCATTCCCGTAAAAGCTCGCAGATTCTCAATATAAAGTGCCACTTGTAAGTTGGTGTCTTCCAACATATATAATATTTCACTCATGGATCCCTTGAGGCCATCTATTTAATTGGACCTGTTTAGTTCTTTTCATCAATGTATTTTTCTTCAGTTTATTTCATTATATCTCTTTGACCTTGGTGCTAGATATTTATGTAACTACGTACTTCTCAATTTGCAGCTGCATCCCATTGTACAACTTTAGCTATATATACAACTATTTGAGGGCTTCTCCTAGGAGTTTTGTGGACAGGTAAACTGGATATAACTTGTATGATGAACTCCGCAGTTGATTGATTTGGAGGAACTAAAAGGAAATAAGAGCTAAAAGAAACTACATTGTAGCTTTGAGAAGAATATACTATCTTGTGTTTCCTCTTCTTTTTTTCCGTTTCCTTTATGTTCTAACCAACAGACCCTCAAGTGGATTCTGGGTTAGAGAATCTGTTTAGGATTGATTAAAATATTTCAGTATTTATGTATTCAGTGAATAATATATTTTGGTATGTCTCTTCCAGCTTTCTTGATAAAAAGGAGCGCCGCTACAACCCAAACATGTCACCATATATACCTATGAGCAAATGGAGGAAAGGATCACAGGTAGTTGCTTGGTCTTTGGTTACATGTCTAGTGACATAGAAGTGTTTGCCACCTGTCTACTTCGCTGCATTAAAGGAGTAGATATTTTTGGTGTCTTTTTTTGTAAAGCATGCCGAGCAATAATCTAGGTAGAGCGTCAAGTATTGAGGTTAAAATGAGCCTAGCTGCACCTACCTCTTAGTTAGCTAGAGCACAAGGCGATGGATTCAGAACCTTGAAATTTGATTATCAAAGAGCATAAAAAGAAAATCAACTCTGCAACCCAAAAATATTCTAATGGTATCAGCTCTACTGTCTTAAAATATGGATCTACTAATGTTGAAAGATATTAAAGCAATCTGCTGAAAGTGACACTTCTCCAGGTTCCCCTGTGATATGTCTAGATGTTATATCAGTTTCAGCAAACTGATTATAGATTCAGTTTGTAATATATGCGCCACAACTCAGCAACCAACATATAGGAAGAAGTAATACAAAAAGCGACAAGTAAAGCTCAAGCTATAGCCAGCTTGGTTCTGGTTTCCTTTGTGAGCTTTTCTGAGTTGATAACAGATTTAGTCAGCCAAAATAAATTGGTATACAAAATAAAATTGGCCTTCTGGTTAAATCTAGGCTTGTTTTTTTCTAACTTTAACTCTCATTATGAATGTCCGTCATTCTTAAGCACAACTAATTTTGAATAGCAATTTGTTGTCAACTCAAGAAATATTCTTTTCTTTATGTGAATGATGTAAGTGTATTTCACTTCATACTGCAAAAGATAAATTATACCTAGAATATGTATACAAAGCTAGAGACATAATTTCAAGAGTGTATCCCTAAGATCATGGCTTTTACCCACAATCTTTGACTATATCATGAGATACAATCTAACATACAATCTAATATTGAAATACTCTCTGACAAATCTAAGTCTTAACACTCTCCCTCAAGCTGGAGCGTACATGTCATATGCTCCAAGCTTGCTACAAATGTATTCAATTCGAGCCCCCCTAAGGGACTTAGTAAGGACATCTGCCAATTGGTCATTTGAACCGACAAAGCTAGTGGCAATGCATCCGGACTCGATCTTCTGCCTAATAAAATGACAATCCGCCTCTATATGTTTTGTTCTTTCATGAAAAACTGGATTAGAGGCAATATGAAGGGCAGCCTGATTGTCGCATATAAGCTCCGTCTGTTTGAACTCAACACATTTTAACTCTTGGAGGAGTTGTTTCAACCAAATAAGCTCGCATGTAGCAAGGGTCATAGCTCGATATTCTGCTTCTACAATATATCTGACAACAACATATTGCTTTTTGCTTTTCCAAGAGATTATATTTCCCCCAATCATGATACAGTACCCAGAAGTAGAGCGTCTATCTGACAGAGAACCTGCCCAATCAGCATCAGAATATCCAACAATGTCCGTGTGACCTTTGTCTTCATATAATAGTCCTTGCCCCATAGCTTTTTGATGTATCTTAGGATGCGAATTACTGCGTCCCAATGATCTTTACACGGAGCTTGGAGAAACTGACTAACCACACTTACTGCAAATGAAATATCAGGTCGTGTTGTAGTAAGATAATTCAGTTTATCGACCAGCCTTCGATATCTGCTAGGATCATTTAATGGCTCCCCCTGTCCAGGGACGAGTTTGACATTTGGATCCATAGGAGCGTTAGTAGGTTTGCAGTTTAACATGCATGTTTCCTCTAGTATGTCCAAAGCATATTTTCTTTGTGAGATAGCAATACCGGTCTTGGATTGTGCTACCTCGATTCCCAAGAAATACTTTAACTTCCCTAAGTCCTTGGTTTGAAAGTGACTGAATAGATGCTGCTTTAGTTGAGATATTCCTTTTTGATCATTTCCAGTTATGACAATGTTATCAACATAAACGACCAGATAAATATTATTTTCTGGACCACTATGTCGATAGAAAACGGAGTGATCTGCTTCACTTCGAGACATCCCAAATTGTTGGACAACAGAACTAAATTTGCCAAACCATGCTCTCGAAGATTGCTTAAGGCCATATAGTGAACGTTTCAGACGGCATACTAAGTTTGACTCCCCCTGAGCAACAAACCCAGGAGGTTGCTCCATATAAACTTCCTCAGCAAACTCACCATGTAAGAAGGCATTCTTTATATCTAGTTGATGAAGCGGCCAACAACGCATTTCTGCTAAGGAGATAAACGGTCGGACAGATGCAATTTTGGCAACGGGAGAGAATGTGTCACCATAATCAAGGCCATAAATCTGGGTGTATCCTTTAACAACAAGGAGAGCTTTCAGCTGATGAATTGTTCCATCTGAACCTACCTTTATTGTATAGATCCACCGGCATCCAACAGTAGATTTCCTTTCGGTAACTGGACCAATTCCCAAGTGTTATTGGTCTCTAGAGCAGTCATTTCTTCGATCATAGCACCTTTCCACCCTGAATGTTCCAATGCTTCACCAACAGTCTTTGGTATAGGTACATGAGAGAAGGCAGATACAAAGGTATAATATAATGGGGACAGTCGATGATAACTTAAGCAGTTAAATCGTACTTGTTTCTGAGTAGTGCATATACCTTTGCGTATGGCGATTGGTGGAGTTACTGCATCTGATGAAGGCATGATTGGAGCAGGTGACTTAGGAGCAAGAGATGAGTCATCGGGAGCTGCCAATGTATCCGGATCAGGTGTAGTGCTATCATTAGTATTAGCTAGAGGACGGGCACGTCTGGAGTATACTTGGAGAAGAGGAGGAGAGCCTTGAGGTCTGTCTGGAAGACTAACCTACGGTATAGGAAATGTAGGCACTGGCAAAACTTGAGGCATCAAATTTCTGTTTGTAGTGTTTAGTGAAAAATAGGGAGATGTCTCAAAGAATGTTACATACGCAGAGATCAAATATTTATATGCTTTTGGATCATAGCATTTATAACCTTTCTGGTAACGAGAGTATCCAAGAAAGACACACTTAATTGACTTTGGTTGGAGTTTGTCATTTCGAGGACTGTGATCATGAACAAAGCAAGTACATCCAAACACTCTCAAAGGTAGATGATAGGGATTTTGACCTGGAAAGAGAATTGAGTGTGGATTTTGATGTTGCAACACAGAAGAAGGCATCCTATTGATCAGATAGCAAGCAGTGAGAACATCATCTCCCAAAAAACGAAGAGGAACGTGATGGTGTACAAGTAAGGTACGAACAGTTTCAATGAGATGCCAATTTTTTACGTTCGGCGACTCCATTTTGTTGAGGAGTATATGCACAAGAGGTCTGATGAGTGATTCCTTGAGATGACATGAAACTAGTGAAGGGGGATGATAAATACTCTTTCGCATTGTCACTACGTAATACCTTTACTAAAACACCAAATTGATTATTTACCTCAACGCAAAAGTTTTGAAAAATAGAAAACAATTCAGAACGATTTTTCATTAAAAATACCCATGTGCAACTGGAGAAGTCATCAATAAAGGTAACAAAATACTGAAATCCTAAACTTGAAACAACACGACTAGGACCCCAAACGTCTGAGTGAACAATGTCAAACATAGATGATGCCCTATTATTGACTCTTTTAGGAAACGAAATGCGGGTGTGTTTCCCAAGCTGACAAGATTCACATTCAAAATAAGACAATGTGGAAAGACTAGGAATTAATTTCTGAAGCTTTGCAAGACTTGGGTAACCTAAACGACTGTGGAGTAGATCAGCTGACGCAACGGAAGTGAATGCAACTGGTGGTTGTGATCTGGACATATGATATAGTCCCTGTGACTCATATCCTGTTCCAATCATCTTCCCTTTTCTCCAGTGCTGCACAACAACAGAGTTAGCAAAAAAAGTGACAGAACAATTAAGACTTTTGATTAATTTACTAATGGAAATCAAATTGAATGGGCATTCTGGAGCAAATAAAACTGAGTTTATAGAGATAGAGGGAAGAAGTTGCACTTCTCCTATTCCTTTTACTGCAGTTCGCAAGCCATTAGCAAAGGTAACCGCAGAGAGGTTTGAGGAAGGAATAAGGTTTGAAAAAAGATTCTGATTACCGAAGATATGGTCAGATACACCCGAGTCTAGTATCCACGAGCAATTGGGTGAATACCTGCTCAGACAAGCAAAGGAATTACCAGTTTTTGAGGTGCCAGATGAGAGTGATTATTGTTTAGCCGCTTGATACCGCAAGTAATCACTATAATCCACTCCAGATAAAGTAATAAAATCAGCATGTTGATCATCTGTTTCACCACCATTTTGAACCATGTGGGTTGTAATGCGATTGTTTGTACGTGATGGTCGACCATGCAGTTTCCAACAAGTTTGTCGAGTATGGCCTCGCTTGTTGTAGTAATTACAGTAGGGTCTGGTGCTTTTACCTTTTCCTCTTTGAGAGACATTTTGTTTTTGTGGATTTTCATTTTGCACAGCTAATACAGATGTCACCATTTTATTAGTATCAAGTGTTTTTGTTCCAATACGCAATAGTCGAGCTGAAACCTCAACTAATGAAGGAACTACAGAGCTTGCCAAGATTTGATCCTTTACAGGGCTGAGATCAGATCGAATTCCTTTCAGTGCCAAAACCATAAAAAACTTATCTCTTTGTTGCTCCTGGGTGGTGACTCTTGCAGTAAGTGGCATGAGTGAGTCAAATTGATCTTTCAAGGTATCTATTTATCCTAAATTAACTCGTCATATCTTGATTGTTCTGCTGAAGTTGGACTAAATCTGAAACTACTTTGTATATTCGTTGTATATCGTTCGTATACAAAGCTTTAGCTTTAGTCCAAACTTTATAACAAGTTTTACAAGATTGAAACAAGTTGAGTAATTTAGGATCCAAAGAGTTCCATAAAAGATTGCACAATTGTGCATCAATTCGGGTCCACTTAGTTTTTTCACTAGTGCCAATTTCACTAACATTTTTGACTAAGTGATCCTCATATCCCTGTCCCTTGAACCACATCTCAACTGAAGAAGACCATGGTGAGTAATTATTACTACCTTGTAATTTAACAGTATTAATAGTGGAAGGATTCGAAATTGAAGAGAAAAATGGTCTGACTTCTTCTGTTGTGGATGACTCACCTATCATTGTGATATTAAATTTCAAGAAGGTAAGGGTACAAAATAATATGGAAAGAGGACAAAAGCAAGATCACTGCATAATAAAATAGAAGACTTTGTTGGACAAGAAAGCTTGTAAGAATGGCCCCCACATGTAAAGACAAAGTAATAAAGTATGACTTGAAATTAAGAAAGCTTTACTTTTGAAAAAGCTTTTCAAAACCAAAGTTTTACTCTTCTGCAACGAAAAATCCCCTCTATCTAATAGAATAGTTTTCTTTTCCTCTCACCAAAATCACAAGATCTGGCCGGGAAAGGAGCTTATTCATAGAGTCGGGTCAAAGGGTAACAAGATCTGACCGTAAACTACTTCGGAGATTTTAGAGAATGTGATGGGTAAGACCGGAATAAATGGTCGACCCTCACGTATCTGAAATAAAAGTCAGAGATGGCCGGAAAAATCCGCCGAAGAAGTGGATGCCGGAAAAAGCAACCGGAAAAGGTGGTCGGAAAAATCTACCGAAGTAGTGACTGCCGGAAAAAGCAATCGGAAAAAGTATTTGAGTCTCTACCGAGATCGTAGAGGCTCTGATACCATGTGAATGATGTAAGTGTATTTCACTTAATACTGCAAAAGATAGATTACACCTAGAATATATATACACAAAGCTAGAGACATAATTTCAAGAGTGTATCCCTAAGATCATGGCTTTTACCCACAATTTTTGACTATACCATCAGACACAATCTAACATGCAATCTAATATTGAAATACTCTCTGACAAAATCTAAGCCTTAACACTTTAAAAAGTAGGCTTCAGCTTTATTCATAGATCACAGTCAGATTGTTTTATAAAATACTAATCTCTCATTTCTGCTCCTTCTGCTATTAAATCAATAGAATAGGTTTCCTACTTCTATAAGTTTTAACTTGACATTTTAATCCAGTGGATCACTTTAATCAGGAGGCATGCAGAAGTCATTGCAGACGATGATGTTGTCTTTCCGGTTTTCAAGATGTTCTGCAAGGTGTGTGCATCATGCTGCTCTTTCCCTTCCTCAATTTCAACTCTGGATTTAAAAATTTCATTGCTCAATTTCATTGCTCAATTTCATCAACTTCTAACCTTTCATTTTCAAGCCATATTTAGTCTAAACTTGTAGTATATCATGCAGCAAAGTCACAACTGCATTCCAGATGAACATTACGTGCAGACATTATTGGCAGTAAGTAATTAACCAATTATTTACCTAAGGTGCTTTTCTGTTTTCAGTCTTCTTGTATTTTTTTTCTGTTTCATGGAAGAAGTCAAAACTGTGATGCTCTTAAGCAACTTCCTTCTGTGTTGTTCTATGAGAATCATCATGTATTCAATCTGGTATTACATATACTGGTTTTTCATTTTTGCGAATAGATGCATGACATTGAAGGAGAACTGGAACGTAGAACGATAACCTATACAGAGTGGAATCAATCTGCGACAAACATGGACAAAAGTAGTTGGCATCCTGTGACATTTAGCTATGCAGATGCAGGGGCTGAACAGATCAAGAGAATAAAGGTAATTTCACAGGCGCATATATAATATTCTATCATCTCCTACTTGGGCATTTGGCTGCATTCATCTCTTTTATGTTTGGAGTTTAACTTCTATATACTGGAAGTGTCAAAAGAATTTTTAAACTATGCGATCACCTAAAGATATCTACAGGTAACCAGTCCATAATAAGTGGGATTACTTAATAACCTAGAAAATAAGGTTGGTAACTAGCTAACAACTAGTTAACGTACTCTAGTAGTCTAAAAATTCTTTAGATTGTCAGTGCAGATAATTAAGTTAAATCGGAATGTTTTTATGCGGTCTTAGTTCTTAATTCTCTATGTTGATTCGCTTGGTTGACTTTTCTGGTCGTTTCTCTTGGATTTCTAGCTGGTTATATTCCTCTAGTTAGTTATGCATCAAATCATTTGGCCTTCACAACTGATTGATTTATGTATGAATTCTGACAGGATATTGACAATGTTTACTATGAAACTGAGTACAGAACGGAGTGGTGCCATAATAATTCCACACAGGTTCCCTGTTTTTTGTTTGCAAGGAAATTCTCAAGAGGAGCAGCAATGCGTCTGTTGAGTGAAGGAGTAATTTATCAGTTTGATGCCTCTGCTATAATGGACCCAACGCCATGATTTTGCTTTGTATTATAGGCCAGTAGACCTTGAGATCTTAATACATAAGGGTGATCAATACTAGAAAGAGAAAAAAGTTTTGATAGTATTACTGTTCAGTACTTCAGCCTTTTAGAATTTGGAAACATAAAGTGGAAGTTGTTCCTTGGTTTGGTTCATGTAAAGGCTTCCTGTTGTAGAAAGTTACTTTATACTGATGTATGATTCAAGTTGCCTAAAATTGAAAGGTTTTTCTTTGGTTAGTGTGTACTTTATGAGCTAAAGATATACACTATTTTTGGGGTTCGTACGAGTTTAAATATATGCAGGAATAGTGCAGAAAGTTTATACATAATCGTCGAATTTTTATCAGTCATAGCATATTACTTAACTATTCTATTTTGTAGGTTATTATATCAAGTTATATTCTGTAGGTTATTATATCAAGTTATTTGTTGTTGTAGGTTAACTTAATGTAATAGTATAAAAATTATTTATGATGTCAATGTACATAATCCCGATAATGTAAATACCTCTCTACACCCAACATCCCTTCCTCCTCAAAATTTTCATAAATATCAAGATAGCCCCCCTTAAGCGGAGAGATTTCACCAATTATATAGCCATCAAAGCCTTTTTTTCTTCCATTTTAGAATTAGAAAGAGATGAGGTAGGATTTCTTTTCACAATCCAGTTAGTAAGAAAAATGAAATTTGGCAATGCCGGCTGAAGGGTAAAGCAACCCAAGTTGTGGCTTTAGGGGTAGAAATGGCGTGGGGTAGCCACAGTTTAAGCTGGTTGTGGGCATATAATTTTATTAAAATTAAATCCGTAAAATAATTTGGACTATATTTTAAATTCAAGATACATTGGTCCAAATATATGTTATGGGCTAATATAATTGAATTAATTATATAAGTCCAATATAAATGGATTAAATAAATAAGCTTAATCCATTGGGCTAGCCCATTTAATTGGGCTAAAGTGATGAGCCCACTTCATTAAGCCCAAATTGTCATCTTCCTAGAGGCCCAGTTTCGTGTCACGTGTCAAATGATGTGGCGCGCCAAGTCAAGCGGAAGAGCCAATAGGACCATGCCACGTGTCAAAATGACAAGGCATGTCCAGTCACACTAAAAGGCCAATGAAATCGCGCCACATGTGCAAGTGACATGTTCTGGCCAATCAAATATAGTCATGTCATGCTTTAATTTGATTGGTCGGAAAGAGTTTGTTCTTATCACAACTCCTCCCTTCCACAACTATAAATAAGGGTCTTCATAACTCAGAAAAGACACCAGAAGTTATAACAAGAAGCAAGAAAGAGCTCGTGGATCAAACGCTGCAAAATCCTCCACAAGTTTCAAGCTTCAAGTTCAATTTCAAGAAATCAAGTTCAAGCTCAAGAACGAAGAACAAATCAAGTTCAAGCTCAAGAACGAAGAACAAATCAAGTTCAAGTTCAAGAACGAAGAACAAATCTAGTTCAAGCTCAAGAACGAAGAACAAATCAAGTTCAGGCTCAAGAACGAAGACTAAATCAAGTTCAAGTCCAAGCAATCAAGCTCAAGCTCAAGAACAAGATCATCGTTCGTGGCAACAAACATAGATTCAAGATCAAGTTCAAAGGCCCTTGAATTTATTTACCATTGAAAAGAAGAAGCAGAGGATTCATAGAGATTGTGCACTCAAATATTCAAAATTAAAATACTACGATTGTTGCGATATTTTTTGTCTTGATTTTATTTTCTCAAACCAAATTTATTATCTACAAATTCTGGCACGCCCAGTGGGACAATCTCTACCTCTCATCTCAACTTTTCAATCACCAAAGTTCAAGAACATTGAAATGGCTTCAAAGAAAATCAACTCCGATTCAACTTCCGCCAAGGCTGCTAACTCCAGGTTCTGTGCTGATGTGGAAAACACCCTCGATGTTACCTTTGGAAGCTTCGGACCAGTTACGAGGAGCAAAGCAAGCTCTCTAGGACAAAAATCACCCCAAGTGTCGTCTGCATCAACCCCTATTTTCGGATCTTCATCCTCAAAAGGAGCAAGATCTTCCACAAACGCATCTGAAGGAGGAAGCGATGTTGCTGAAAAGATCAAGAAAACTCTTGCTTTGCTTGACCTCTCTGGATCCAAGCACTCTGCTATGAAGGAAGATGATGATGCTTCAAGTGATGGATTCTCCCCACTTACACCACATAGCGTGAGCCAATCAAGGATCAATCTGTGTGAAAATCCATGCTACTCTCTGTTGTCCACGACAATCATGCAAGCCATGTTGACAAACACTTCATCTATGGAGGAGAAGTTGGCAAACTTGACGGAAGCAATCGCTGGCTTGACCAAATGCATGCAAAATCAAGAGGCTAGAATTGACAAGCTAACAGACAGGGTGGGAATCTTGATGGAAGAAGAATCCACCCATGCACCCGGCAAGCTCCCAGAAGTTTTAGAGAGTGACTCTCTCCCAAGACAAGCAGCATCCACTAAGGCTATCCCTGTCTCATCTGAAGGGATGATTCCAATCGATCAAGTGAAGGAGTTCATCGAAGGAACCATTAAGAACAAATATGAAGTTGCTGCCAAATCCTCCCTTACATATGCAAAACCGTACACTGCAAGGGTCGATATGTTGAAGATGCCTGCTGGTTATCAACCTCCAAAGTTTCAACAGTTTGACGGTAAAGGTAACCCAAAGCAACATGTTGTGCACTTCGTGGAGACATGCAACAATGCTGGGACTTATGGAGATTACCTCATCAAGCAGTTTGTCCGCTCGCTAAAAGGAAATGCTTTTGAATGGTACACGGACCTCGAGGTTGGATCTATCGATAGCTGGGATCAACTAGAGCAAGAGTTCCTCAATCACTTTTATAGTACGAGACGTACTGTGAGTATGATAGAACTTACAAATACTCGTCAACGAAAGGGGAAACCAGTTATTGACTTTATCAATCGTTGGAGGAATGCAAGCCTCAACTGCAAACACAGGCTTAGTGAAGCTTCATGCATAGAGGTATGCATCCAAGGCATGCATTGGGGATTGCGCTATATCTTGCAAGGTATCAAGCCTGACACATTTGAAGAACTTGCAACTCGTGCCCATGACATGGAATTGAGCATGGCCTCCGCTGGAAATGAAATGCTGCCCATCTATGAACCTCGCAAAGGGAATGACAAGCAAAAAGTTAGGAAGTGGGGCAAGTTTGTACCCAAGTCTGAAAGCAAAGAAGCTATGAATATCAACTCGTCACCTGTGAAGTTCACGATGAAGGTGAGCAAGAAGCAGAGTATGAAATCCACTTCTTTTCAAGATAAGCCAAGTGGAAAGTTGACTCTAAAAGAAATGCAAGAGAAGGAGTACCTATTTCTGGATTTTGATGTGCCAGCCATTTTCGAAGAACTCCTCGAGTTATATCTTATTGAGCTTCCGGAGATGAAGTGACCAAATGAAGCTGGGGAAACAAATGACCCAAATTACTGCAAATATCACCAACTTGTAAGCCACCCTCTGGATAAGTGCCTTGTTTTTAAGGACAAAGTCATGGACTTGGATCGCGAAAAGAAGATCGTGTTTGAAGATGAGAAAGCAAGCGCAAACCAAGTCTCTATCACCTTTGGCTCATTCAGTTCGGATGAATTATACGGTTTTAAAGAAAGCAAAGATGAAGGATTACTGGAGAGCAACAAAGCTGAAGTCAATCAACTCGATGATGATAAAGGTTGGACATTGGTGACTCGTCATAGGCACCACAAAAGGAGCCCATGAAAAGGATCAATAGAACAACCAACAAGGAAGATGATGATAAAAAGACCAACGAAAAAGAATCTAGTTAGGCATTTGAATAAAGCAAAAGTGGAGATGCACCATCCTCAAAAGCCGCGAAATCCAGTGACCTTGGAGGAGTTTTTACCAAGTTGGTTCCGCACGAAGATTTCCCTTGAGGGCACTGACGCCTTTTGTTGCCATGCTGACAAAGGGGAAGAAAAGAGTGATGACCTTCCGTTGGCACCATCTTCGGAAAAGCCCGTCGAGTCCACTCCTCAAGAAGTTAATGCTTGTGAGGAAAAGGTCACGTTCACAAATGACGATCTTTTGCTAGGTGACACTCCTCATAACCGCCCATTGTAGCTAGTTGGCTATATGCGCGATGAAAGGGTAAATCGATTTTGGTTGATGAAGGATACTCAGTGAATATTTTGCCAATCCACACAGTGAAAGAACTTGGTATTCCTATGAATGAACTCTCAGGAAGTCGTGTGATGATCCAAGGATTCAACCAAGGAGGGCAAAGAGCCATAGGCGCGATCAGACTGGGAATCACTATTGAAGATATGCAATCAAGTGCATGGTTGCATGTGATCGATGCGAAGACTTCATACAATGTTTTGCTTGTTAGGCCTTGGATACATGAGAATAAAGGAGTTCCATATACCTACCATCAATGTTTAAAATACTACTGGGGTGAAGTCGAGAAGACAGTAGTTGNGTCCTTGTAAGGAAGAAGAATGGCCAGATTCGAGTATGCGTTGACTTCAGGGACCTCAATAATGCATGTCCCAAAGATGAATTCCCGCTTCCTATTCCAGAGCTGATGATCGATGCTACTACTGGTTACGAGGCAATGTCTTTCATAGACGGTTCGTCGGGCTATAACCAAATTCGCATGGCACCAAAAGATGAAGATCTTACTTCATTTCGCACCCCCNAGAGGTGACTACTGGTGAAGCCAAAGCTGTTAGTAAGGAGGTACAACTCAATGCGAATAAATCTCATAGAGGGAATATTATGTTTTATGGCAAGAAAGAAAGTCCGGCGCTCCAATATGTCCCTAAAAGGAAGAAAGANGCACCCCCAAGGGTATTTATTGCTACAAGGTAATGCATTTTGGCTTGAAGAATGCTGGTGCTACTTACCAAAGGGCTATACAGAATATTTTANTCTAATTGCCAAGCTAACATGCTAAAGGAGTTAACTCTTCCGGTTAAACGAATTGAGGCAGTAAAGTCGTCCTTAATGCCGCTTTCAGGGTTTGTAGCCCAAAATCGTTTGCAGAATGTGGCACTCCCTACAAAGCGAACAGATGAAGGTTTTGACCTTAACGCTTACAATCTATTTGCAAAAGCTGGATACAATCCCATTGAGCCATCAAAGTTAGGGAAGCTCCCATCAGAAGCTGCAACGAGGCAACCATGTGAAGGTTTAGGATACAAGCAACCACCATTAGTGCGCATCTCAATAAGAAGGGTGAGCGGCAATTATATCACTATAGAAGATGAATCA